TGATCCCAATAATAGAACGGTAATCGAAGCTGATTGTTCTGGATATGTGATGGGGGCCTATCTATCTCAGTTTGACAGAACCTGTCATGTAGAGACATGATTCATTCATGAGTTGATTTTTTCAGACGATCATGACTATATCACAACGTCATGTATAGACACGATTCATCGTTTGTACCTGTTGTATCAATCATGACTATGTCTCAGTGATATGAGAAACATCATTGACTAGTTACTAGAAACCTAATCAAGATCCTAAACACACAACTGAGACTAGGAGAATTTTACTGAGTAAGTAATTATTCTCATGAATCTAGATCTAGAGGAACATAATCTGGTTGCTTGGCTCGAGGTATATGAACCTGAGCATATCACGTATTATATACTATATAGAAATCTATCTCAATCACAATCATCATCTTAATTCATGTCACCATCAATAGCTGCAAAGGACAGTTTAACCATTTCCTTATAGCTATCACTCTATCAAACTGTGGATAGTTTAGAAGCGATTAATGTAATATATAAAGTTTAAAGTGTTAGGTTTACAAAGCTTGGAGCTACTTGTTTCGGACAAAGGTGTTTCGCTTGGGTTGCAGCAATAAGAACTCCTTCTATTCTGACTAGAGATGTTTCGTTCCAAACGATGAAAAACTTGGCTCATGGGGACAAGTTGGGGACACATAGAGAACTTGCCATTTTCTGGACGTACATAATCTAGATAGTAACAGAAAGAGAAATGGCAGCCAGGAATTAATTGACACTTTTTACTTCTTACATTATTCAATTGACTCGTAGAGTCCAACATATGCTGACCCAGTAGATCAAGTACCAGCCTAGAAACTAAAAGCATCAGACCCAGCAAAAAGGGCAAACGATTTCGTTAAAAGACTAAGTGAAGGACAAGAATATGCGCAAGCTAGATTTTTTTTAGATTTTTTTATTATAGTCCTTACTGAGTCTAAGACTATGGAGGACTTTGTGAATCTAACTAAAGATTCTAATTACATTTGAGAAATTTAATTTTGAAATATGCCAAAATTTCTTCTTGTAGATATTGAGGGACAAGCCCTTTATGCGCAAGCTACAATGGCCTCAATTCAACAAATAATGGAATCTTCAGCAAATAAAAATAGATCACCTGAGGAAAAATACTGCAAGGGTGATCATGTTTGGTTAAACTTGAAAAATATTTGCACACCCCAACTGTTACGATTTGACCGTTGTTTGAGCTTAGGAGTAGACCTAAGCTTAATATTGAGAATTCTTACGATAAGACTGTATGGGGAGGAGGTGAAGATTAACGAAACAGCACTACTAATCAGGAGGCTAAACGTTATCACAACAAGCGACACCTGGAAATACGTGGCTGGGTATAAAGCAATGTTCCTAAGGACAAGTCACTAGTCTGTAGATTTACGAGGATGATCAACTCTTATAAATACCTGTTAGAAGTAGCTAGAGTTCTATTTTCTCCTCATATAGTTTAATAAATCGATTTTTTCATCACCAACTCGGTTTCCATCACACCAACTATCAAAAAAGCTTTCATAGGTCAACGCAAAATATAGAGTTATAATAGTTATTTAACCGCACGTGGTACAACTAGACGTTCCCTCGGGGTTCTGGCCCAAATTCCACGTCGAATTAGTGTAGAGGGACCCTCAAAATCCTTTGCCACTGTAAAAGCTAAGAAATATGCAGCCTCCACCACAGTTGAACTCACTAGGAGAAGAGGAGCAGGTTTTTTTTTTTTTTTTAATCATTTAATGTGTATTCAGCTATCTAGCTATGACACATGACCGGCGCTATGTATACATGTGGGATGACTCTTTTGACGTTAGAGACACTCATACTCTAGATTTCATTTGCAAATACCACTATGAGGTATGTTTGCTTACACAAACAGTCGACCCTCCTCCGTTAGTACCCACCAAAGGGAATTTAAAAACCTTTGATTATCCAAGCATGCCTTCGTCATCCATGCATACCAGCGCCGCGAGAAATGTGGTTGTGTTTTGCCGGATTCGAACCAGCGATCTACTGTCTCAAGTGGGATATGTGTCCAAGCTATCCAGACTCTACTTGGCAGACCGGCCAAGATGATGTACCACCGCACCATCCAACCATGGCAGCTTTTATAGTGTCGCCTGCACTCTCGCAGCCGAAGACTTGGCACGCACAAAGCACAATTTGTAAAAACTCCTTTCCAAAATTCAAAATTCCACGCCCGTCGAGACTGTATCCAATCCTCTGCATCATCTTATTAACTTGTCCTGATCCCTCTCACATCCATCCCAAGGAACTATCTTCCAGATTTGTGCGCCACGCTTTGCTTCCTCCGTCGGGTGTAAATATCGGCGTGGGCGTGTATCTGGCGACCAGCTAAGGCCAGAGAAAGTCGACAAGAGGTGTGGTCATTGGGATTAGGATGTACTAGGTCGTACTTGTAAACTTGATGAGGTTTAGGTAGGAATCGATTTCGTTGGGAGTGAAAGATTGATATGGTGGAGTAATTTGAAATTTTGCCTCGTGGGCCAACTTGTTCGGTATTGCGAAATTTGACTGAACTTGGCCCTGGGAGAATATTTCACTCCCAGGTTCGTAGAGGACACCGCGTACAGGTGTTCAGTCTTGCCCTCCAAGAGGAGCAGGTTGTAGACAGGATTCTGCGATCAGAAAAGAAGCGTCGGGGCAGACATTTTACGAGACAAGTTCTTGTCAAGTGGAAACAAGTTGAAGAACCAAATTGGGAGCCTCGAAATAATCTTTAAGAAACTGAAGCTTTAGATATATTCGAGTCTAAATACAGAAAAGGTGATAACGTTGGAGAGTATGTCGGAGCTCGAACAGGGTCTACAGGGAAGAGACAAAAACGCTAAAAATAATAATAAAAAATAATATAATAAGGGGAAAGAGAGTTAATGTTAGAGGCTGCGCCTTCAATCCGTGTTCTTGTGCCTGTCTATGTGCTAATCGCAGATGTTCTATTATGGAATTATAAGTGATCGCCGATCTGATGGATATTAACCTCCCTGGGGTCAGAGCTACATGTATATATGTCCTACAGCCTTGATAGATACCATTTCCTAGATAATTAGAAAATAGACAGTATTACGGCCAGCTTACTTTGTTCTTATTGTTTTGGTGATAGCCCATCACAGACTGCGACTACGCACATATCCTTTGCTTAATCAAAGTGCATTCAGCTACATAATCATGAAACACACATAACACACTAAGATATTCTCAACTAGCTTCACCGTGGCATTTTTCAAAGCATCACTCGTCTAATTTCATACTCTTGTAATCTGACTCCAATCATTTTTGGGCTTCATGATGAGCACGAGATATGCAGCACGTGATGCCATGTAGGAGAGAGGCTTTTTTTTCCTTTTTTGCATCAGAATTTAATTGCGTATGCGGTCATCTAGCACTAACACTAAACCGGAGAGAATTTACAAAATAAATGATCTAATTAAAATGTAAAGCGCTCATGTATCGTATTTCATTTGCAAATACCACTGCGGATTTATGATGGCTTATTCTTCGGCCCCAGTCAACCTCCACCCGTCAATTCGACTGTGGATGGAAAGAATAGGGACAGATGATGCGAAATTCCATAAAGTGGAGGGCCAATATTCCGAGAATATCGACTAAGAAAATGGACATTTACTTTGATGGACCTTTAACGTCTTTGAACATAACAAATTACTCTCATGCAACACAATTTAGGCGGCTAGCAAGAGCCCATCATGATTCAAGTGGAAGTGAGTCAAGTTGAGGACGTAAATACGGTAAAATTAAGCGTTACATTCTAGGCCTTTTCTCATCTCGTTTATTGCATGGATGTATATGGTTTGGTTTATTGTACTAGTTGAGTCACAGTCAATCCAGTACATTGAGCTCCTCTCTGGCCCAGACCACAACTTGTACAGAGCTACTATCCGCTTTTGTTGCCTCAAAGATCTCTGATATATTCCAAATAACGGATTTCCAAACATCTCAGCGCTTGTGCGTTGAAGTCAGCCGCGTTTCCCGCGGAACCTTTTCCCCAAATTAGATAAAAATGAAGGTAGCAATGGAAACTGCGTGCGCAGATAAAGTCGCAAAAACCTGCATCCAAAAACATATTGTAATAGCCAAGTGAAGACTATTTAGGCTCTCCCTAAGGAATACGGGTATTGAGCCTGAGTCAAAATTGTCTCCCCTCGACAATATGAGATAAGCCTGGGTTTCAAATAGGATTGCTATCCACCAAGAGATTATGATTAGCATGGAATAAACTGGGGTTTATTGTTCAATCTAACATCGTTAGCGGCCGGTCATAACTAATTTCCGCAGCTACCCTGCAGTATTTGTCAGTTGAGAGCCACTTGACACATATCGTTGGCTATTTGTGACAATGTACTGAAAATGAAAGTTCTCCTAGAAGCGGGAGAGGAGTGATCTAGTTCAGTTTTACCTGATTCCCTCGCGTAATCCACTTCATTTTTACAGGTGCAATAATGAATTGGGAGGCCGGATGAAAGCAATGGTTTCATTATCGCCTGTGGAGACTAGATAATACAAGTCAGCACATAAATGAACTCCATGGAATTTATGGGACTCTATCTGCATCAATTAGAGCCGAAAATATAGTTTCTTCTCATTCTTGTATAGTCTAGACTTGGCAAAGACTTTTGATTACATGTTTTGAAAGGATTCAATCATCCCCGTAAAAGTTACTAGGGAGCTGTGGACAAAGTTTCCATAAGTCTTGTTACTTTAGTCTGAATAATATGAAGTAATTAGTATTTAGTATTTAGAGAAATAGAAGCCACTACTTTCCCTTCAGTAACCCACACCCAAAAGTTCCATTTCTTCCACGTTGGTCTAACAGCTACAAACCATAATTGATATCTACTGAGTCTGACCAAACTAGTAACTCTCGAGAATCAACAATCAGTAATCACATATCAAGTCGCAAACAACTTTGAAAGCTTAAGATAATTCACAAAATGAAGATTACTCCTCCATCAATCACCCTGTTCTTGAGCCTTTTGGTGCCAGCAATAGCTCTCTCAGAATTCGACTGTGACGGAGTAATCATTCCTATGCACCTTGTCATAGAAGCCATAAATGCTGATATTCACGAAAAAAACGGTCGTAGCAATTATTTGGGAAATGCTGATCTGATTCTCGAGAGTAGGAACGCGAGAATCCATTTTCGGCTTGATAGCGATCCATGTTCGTATATTCCACCCACGTCGGGACTTTAAAGCTAGCAATACTAATTCTTATAAAAGACTGGAGGTCCTGGGTTGAATATGGTAGCGAGGGGCAAGTCTTATCAGTAAAATCTTCGTATGGGGAATGTACAGGGCACTGAGAATTGACATCATGACTGGGAATACGGACATATCCTTAACTTAATCAAAGTGCATTCAGCTACATAATCATGAAACACACACAGTAAACAAAGATATTCTCAACTAGCTTCGCCGTGATATTTTTCAAAAGCCTCGTTGGTCCTACTTTTTTTTGCATCAGATTTTAATTGCGTATGCAGCTATCTAACTAGGACACAATATCAAAGAAAAGTACAGAATAGATGATTCAACGTAAAGGAAGAGCACTCATGCCTCAGATTTCTTTTGCAAGTACCACTGCGAAGTTACGGCGGCCTTTTCTTCACCTCAAGTCAACCCTCATCCGTGAATACCCTCCCAGGGGAACGTCTCAAAAACCCTGAGTTATCCAGACATGCATCCATCATCTTTCAACTTTTCTCCGCGCGAAATATGGTCTGAGATATCTCCTTCCCAAGTGGAGTAGGTGCCCATGCTACTCAAACCATACCAGAGAACACCACCAGGAGGCGGACCACAACACCCTCCGTCGTCGGCTTGTGTTTATAGTGTAAGTTGCACTCTTGCAAGCGAAGTCTTGGCGCGCACAAAGCCTAATTCGTAAAACTCCTTGCCAAAATTCAAAATTCCACGCCCGTCGAAAACGTATCCCTCCTCTGCATCATCTTGTCAACTTTTCCTGATCCTCTCCCGTCCATCCCAAAGAGCAATTTCTCAGATTTGTGTGCCACGCTTTGCTTCCTCCGTCGGGTGTAGATATCGGCGTGGGTGTGCATTTGTTGACCGGCTGATGCCAGAGAAAGTCGACGAGAGGTTTGATCATTGGGATGAAGATGTACTAAGTCGTACTTGTAGACATGAAATCAAGCAACTTCTACAGGCTTGTTTAATGTGATTTCTAAACCGAGCCATCACGAGTAAGCGTATGGTATCATCTCTATGCCACCAGCATATCTGTCGAGCTCTAATAGGGTTCTATGCTTCCGGACAAACCATTGCAGCTCTATTTTTGTAAGGATTCCCTGTTCAATTCTTAATTTAGGATTTATTTTTAGTCTTCTTCCAAGCAGCTATGACAATACCGCAGCTCTCGGCACTGGGTAATCTATTATTATTAGGAGAAGACTTATGTCATGATGGAACAACGGAAAGAAATCATGTAAATAAGGGCTTAGTCTACTATCATAACCTACACCTTTAGATCATCCCTAGTAGCCTCTAGTTTTTCAGATACCATTAGTTCCCTTCAGCCAAACCTTTAGTTTCTCTCAGTGACCTCAAGTACCTCATCAGATATCTCCTCTACATATCCCTCTTTTCTATTTTTACTCACTCCTACCCAAACCGTCGCTCCAACCTGACACACTATCACTGTGGGTTACGGCTCAGGTTCTGGTGGTTTAATAATCTAACTGCGTTGTGCGATAGTAAGAGAAGATTATCTACAGGAGGGACATATACTAATATCCTAGTGTACGGAGCTAGCTCTTAGTCCCGTGACAAGACTCCCACTCTAAATTGCGTTTGGTCTCCAAACTGCATGCTTCCATCTGTAAATTAGTATGACTATCGTTCGGTAATGTAGACGTATACGCGTACGCAATGGGTCTCTCGATGATGTGGTTTTGAATTTTGAATTTGATTTCCTTTAACCCGATCAGGCACCCTATGGGTCCATGCAGGTGACTATCTTCATTATTTACAAAGGGGGAAACCAATTTGGTGAAAACCCCCTGATCCTGCCTGTTTAATAGCTATCAAACTTTCCTAGTTTACCTTCAGGAAGTGCATTTTATACTGTTAAGCCAGTGTGGACTCCGTTCTCTCCCCTTCCTGATCGATTCATTTTTCCGAAATTGCTGCTTCCTATTAATGCCTGTCCATAAATTTTTCCACTCCTGGAAGGCCGCTATCTTTCCAGCTTCTTTTTGCCTCCCCTTGTCCTTTTCCCTTCCACAAATTCTTGTCCATTCAGCGATATCTTTACTCCTGTTCCAGGCATGCGGGGTCTCTCTCCCGTTTACGGTCAGCTTTATCCTGTTACATGTCGATTGTATTGTCTGTTGTACAGGGAGTTTGGATGAAAGCCCGACGTGTTGGTCGATGATGTGGTTGTTCTTATTATTCTATTTCTTGGTTACAGATGTGTCAGCCTTAAAGGCGACACGCCAAGCTGCACCAATCCACGTGACTAACTATCAACATATTGCGATCTCTCTCCTGACCCATGCACATCCCACGATAGTGTTGCAACAATGACCTCAATATAAACTTTTGTTATATTCTCGTTTCAATCAGTTTCCATGTTGGCAGCCTGCTCCTTCCTGAACGGCGTGGCTGTTGTGGTAAAATCGATTTATTTGTGTTGTGCTCAGGTAAGGTAGCCCTGTCAGGTAGCGCATGGAGGGTGTTTGTTTGTTTGTTTGTTTATTATTTAACGTCTAACTAATGATTATAATACACTAGTCCCGGACTGGAAAAGGACGCCAGAGCTTACTGCTCTAGAACCGGGGGCACCCAGCTTCTCCAAACAAAAAAGAAGGGACCCGAGATGAAATACGGTGTCAGATGACTTATTACGTCACGCTGTCTACAGAAGTTTATGCCTCCTAGAGGGAATGAGAGCCAGTCATAGTGGGAAGAATATCCTCCCAATATGCTTAATTAAATTAGAGGAAAAGAAAGGGAAGAAAGGAAAATTTAGCACATGGGCATTCTTTTATTTTAATTTTCTTTGAACTGCTGTTAAGCAACATTTATCGATGTCACGGGAGGAATCCGGGGACAAATTTTAGTGAAGAACTGTGATTTTTCAAGCCATTGTGCAAGTTTTGAAGCTCCTGTGGGGGTCCCAAGAAAGAACTTCCATTTGTCTGAACAGCCCCTCGGTGGTTTGAGGGGGCTTGATGTGATTAGTCTACAGTTTAGGAAATGTGCAGGGGACTTGAGTTTGTTGCAGCTGCAGGTATTGTGGGCGGGGTTGTGGTTGAAGCGATTATGATAGGCTGCAAAATCTCCATGTCCGGAGCGAGCAGCGTATATATGGGCAGTATGATGTCGAGGTAGTGATAGCTCTGCGGGGCAGCCCACAGGATACTCGATTTCCAAGTCTTGATATGACTGAGGGGCATGCTTTGCCCAATACTCTTTGTGAGCTTTTATAGATATGTCCTTGACCCAAACTTTTGCCGAGGCAATTGTGAGTGGAGATGGGGACGGATACGGCATGGACAAAGCATCTTTCGCTGCTTTGTCTGCTAGAACGTTGCCTAAGTGTCCTGAGTGGCTTGGGATCCAATGAACCCGGACTTCGCCTGGGATAGTATGGGGGAGACGCGTGCGGCCTGGCCATTCTTGTGCTTTGAACGCGAATTTTTTGAATACGTCTTGGGAAGAGCAGATCGGAGTAGATAGAAGATGTCGGGCTACATCTAGGTTATCGAGTAGGACCCATAAGTTGTTTGCAAAGCGTGTAGAGGTAAGATCTATTGCTGTCTCTACAGCACTTAAAGCTGCTGCAGCTTCTGCATCAAATATCTCTAGTGATGGGCTTAGAGGTATTCTTTTCTGGCAGATCATGTGGCCTGCTTGGAAGATTACAAAACCACCTCCGACGCAAGGTCCCGAAGCTGATTCTAGGCGGCTGCCATCGGAATATATAACTAAGTCATGTGAGGGGATCCCCTCAGGAAGTTGATGTGAGGCAGCAGTGACCCGTCTAGTCCTTGAGAACCAACTCTCCTTTGCTAACCAAGGGGGGTTGACCAGAGGGTCCAGATACTCTGTAGGCGGGAAGCTTAGGGCCCACCTGGAAAGGCGTGAGACACGTCTCTGTTGGCTAAGGATCCAAATGTTCCGGCGGCGAAGAGGGTGCCGTGGATCGAGGCGTTGTATACGGAGGGATGCTTGACGAAGTTTTGAGTCCAGCGCGATTTCTGGAGGGGAAAGACCTGCTTCTCTATATAGCGCGCTAGCTGGTGTTGTTCGGTAGACTGGAAGAATTGCTCTTGCACTAGTTCTAACAACCTTTTGGAGGAGGGAGAGATGTCCCTTCACTAAGTTTGAGACGGTCCGAGTTGGGGAGATAGCGCGTGACAGGCCTGGCCACCATGTTTCAGCTCCATAATAGGCGATAGGTAGTACGCAAGCGGTGACTGCTTGGCGTAGGAGTTTAGGGGGGGCTCCACTTAGTGTGTTACCAAGGCTGCGGAGCGCGTTTGCCACCACTAGAGCTTTATTTGCAAGGATGCGGACGTGCCATTTAAAAGAAAGTGTTTTGTCAAAATATACTCCCAGCCATCTGGTGTATGGGCGATTTGTTTTCTCAGATACGGAGAAATTGCCGTGCTTGACCGACGGGGTGTTGCCCGGATTCTTATCAGCCCGTTTACGTGAAAAATGCTGAAGCTCTGCCTTAGCTGGGTCGAAAGTGATGCCCTCCTTTATCCCCCATTCTAAAGCTTCTTTCAGTGCCATTTTTAAAGAGATGCAATTGTCGTGAAGTGATTTTTGGGTCTCAAGAATTGCGATATCGTCAGCATACCCAAACCTCCTAGAGACGTTTCCCAGCTTGAACAGAGGGGATATATAGAGCATGAAAAGGATAGGTGAGGCAGGGGAGCCTTGTGGGAGACCACAGTTGATTGACTGGAGAGGACCTAGCTCGCCATCGAGACGGATTTGTACTGAACGGTTAGTAGCGAAAGAGGCTACCCAGTTGACAAGGAACTCTGGCCAGCCTTGCTCCCGCATACGCCGGACAAGCCGGCCTGGGAGCACAGCATCAAAGGCTCCTTTCACGTCGAGTGTCAGCATGCTAGCCGTGCGCCCCTCGCTCAAAGCTCTTTCGACATCATGTGTAAGACAGGTGGTGAGATCGACGGCTGACCTTCCTGGGAGAGCACCAAACTGCTGGGTGGTGAGTATCGTATTTCGGGTCGCAATCCAAGCTATACGTCTGGCTATCAGCCGCTCCAACCCCTTCCCAAGTGCGGAGAGAAGTGCTATCGGGCGGTATGAG